AGCGCTCTACCACTTGAGCCACAGCGCCACTTCCGGCTTTTTTCTTTTTGCTTATGTGGTGCTGGGAATCGAACCCAGGGCCTCAGGCATGCAAGGCAAGCGCTCTATCACTGAGCCACCTTCCCAGCCCAACAATACTTCTTATGCTGGTTTGGGGGTTTGAACTCAGGGCCTGGGCACTATCCCTGAGTTTTATTACTCAAGGCTGGTGTTCTACCATTTAAGCCACAGTTACACTTTCAGCTCTTTGGTGGTTCACTATAGATAAGAGTCTCAAAGAGCTGGGCACCAGTAACTCATGCTTGTAACATTAGCTACTCAGGAGGCAGAGATCTGGAGGATTATTATTCAATGTCAGCCTGGGCAGGAAAGTCGGTGAGACTCTTATCTCCAATAAACCACCAGAAAACCAGAAGTGGCACTGTGTCCCTAGAGCTGAAGCCCCACAACTAACAAGAAAGAAAGAAAGAGGGAGGGAGGGAGGGAGGGAAAGAAAGAAAGAAAGAAAGAAGGAAGGAAAGAAAGAAGGAAGGAAAGAAAGAAAGAAAGAAAGAAAGAAAGAAAGAAAGAAAGAAAGAAAGAAAGAAAGAAAGAAAGAAAGAAAGAAAAAGAAAAGAGTCTCAAGGTATTTACTGAGGGGACTGGCAAGATTCTCAGATCTCAGCCTCCAGAGTAGCTAGGATTATAGACAGGATCAGTGTTTAAGACCAGCTGGGGCAGAAAAGTCTGAAAGACTCCATCTCCAATTAACCAGCAAAAAGCAAAGTTAAAGCATTGTTCAAGTAGTAAGTAGAGTGTCAGCAAAGCCAGCAAGCTGAGCATGCTAAAGGGCCTGAATTCAAATCCCAGTAGTGGCAAAAAAAAAAAATGTCTAGTGCTTCCTGGATCACAAGGTGTTTCTTTTTTTTTGGGGGGGGGGTCGGTAGTGGGGCCTGAACTCTGGGCCTGGACGCTGTCCCTCAGCTCTTCAGCTCCCGGCTAGCACTTAAGCCACAGTGCCACTTCCGGTTTTTTTTCTTTTTGCTTATGTGGTGCTGAGGAATCGAACCCAGGGCCTCATGCTTGCAAGGCAAGCACTCTACCACTGAGCCACCTTCCCAACCCTCAAAAGATGTTTCTATGTGGCTTCATATAGGAAATAGATGGATTCCCACCGAGTAGGTGCACTCACCTCCCCTAGAAATAAGACCCCTGACCCCTGATTTTATTTTATCTGAGCACCCAGCTGCCTAAAATAAAAACCATCATGTCCCAATTTCTACCGATATGGCCATGTGATTTAAGTTCTGATTAATGAGATGCAAGTACAAATGGTGAATGGCAAAACCCTACCCAAGCAGGAGCTTGCTGGGGAATGTAGTCATAATGTCTGGCACTCTAGCTGCCATCATAAATCATAAGGTTGCCTGGGGTGAGAATGTTATGTGCAGGAGAGCAACAAGATAGAAAACGCCTGGAGCCCTGAAAGCATGGCACTCCATGCCAATTGTGCTGACCATCTCCAGACTCCTTAAACGTGAGAGAGTACATTTTCCTACCTGTAGGCTAGACACATCTCAGTGATCTGCAGTGGCTCTTTAAAGCTCTTTAGGGCTTTTTCCAGCCGGGTTTTATACGTGAGCAAGTCATCAGTTTCGTGCACAAGCTGCTGAAGTTTGTCTTCCAACTCCTGCCTCCAGAACTTGAGTTCCTGGAGTCTCTGTTCTGAAGCACATGAAGAAGTAGTGGATTTTTTTTTTGGTCATGTTTCAATTTTGTTATGCTTTGTTTTGTTTGTGCCAGTACTGGGCCTTGATCACAGGGCCCAGAAACTCTCCCTGAGCTTTTTTTTTAAGCTGGTACTCTACCAATTGAACACCTCTATTTCTGGCTTTTTGGTGATTAATTGGAGAAATGAGTTTCACAGACTTTCCTGCCTGCACTGGCTTTCAACCATAATCCTTTGATCTCAGCCTCCTGAGTAGCTAGAATTATGGGCACAGTCATTGGCAATGAGTTCCACGTAGTAGTGGTGGTGGTATGTGTGTGTGTGTGTGCTCCTGTGCTGTCCTGTGGCTTAAACTCAGGGCCTAAGCTATTGTGCTCAAGGCTAGCACTCTATCACTTGAGCTGAAGCTCCACTTCTGGCTTTTTGGTGATTAACTGTAGATAAGAGTCTCACAGACTTTCCAGCTGCTAGGGTGGTTTTGAATTGTGATTCTCAGATCTCAGCCTCCTGAGTAGCTAGGATTATAGGAATGAGCCACCAGAACCTGGCTTCCTTTGGTGCCATTAGAAATGGTAAGTTTCTAGAACTATTCACTGAATCAGTGATACTAAGACAACCAGCCCCCACCAACCCCTGTTGCCTTATATTTAAGCCTGCTTCTCCCCCCGACCTTTTTTTTTTAACCTAATTGGCTACTATAGACATTTGGGACCCTTGGTTTATGACTTTTTGGCATTCGGAAAATGTAGTTTGTTTCATTTTACATCTATTTTTGATTCTTCTTAAGAGCACCATCTTTTTTTTTAAGGTACCATCTTTTAAACTCTTTAGAAGCATGGAATTATCCAGAGAAAATTATTCTCCAAGATGAGCTCCACCATTTCTCTCTAGGGAAATGTTCTGTATTTTCTACCTCTCTAGCACCTATCTGGTTATATTCCAATTATTCACTTAAAAAAATCTTTCTCCTCTTCAAGACAGGAGTCCTATAAAAGTAGACCCTGAACTCATTCCCTCTTCCTATTATGTGGTCCATAGATGCTCAATTAATATGTAATCATGACTGGATGCAGGATGTATGGAAAGCAGACTGAGTGTCTCTCCTAGTGTCCCTTGATGACGTGTGTCCAAGTCTGAGTGTGATACTGTAATAGCTCCAGCCCCTCTGAGCATGCTCAATAGCTTACCAAGTTTCTTGTCTGAATCACACTGAGATCTCCTTGTGCTCTTATTGATTTCTTCCACAAGCCTCTGGCTTTCAACCACCAGGCGCTCAGATCGGCACCTCTGGGCCTCTGCCTTGTGGTAATGGTTCTTGTTAATGGTTTGCCATTCTGAGGGCAGGAATTTGGGAGGAGGTTGTATGAGTCTGGCCATTCTGAGATTTCCAAAGTCCTGGTGAAAGGCAGACTGGATTTTAGATTAAATGAAAATACTTGGAGTATCCTTTATTATTATTATTGTATCAAGCTATGATATTCATATTGAAAAGTACATAAGCCATAACCTGTACACGCACAAAAAAAAAAACACAGTGATGTTGCCAGCACCTAGATCAAGAAACCAGCATCACCAAGCCCTACAAGGTGAGCAGTATGTTGTTTGGTCATAGCATTGCTGGGTCATAAAGCAGTGTTCTACCAAACAGATGAGCCCAGACGTATTCTCTTGAGAAATAAATGTGCCAGGAGCTGGTGGCTCACACCTGTAATTTTATTTAAGCAGGAGGCTGAAATCTGAGACTGGATGTTCAAATCCAGCCCAGGAAGGAAAGTCTGTGAGACTCTTACCTCCAATTAACCACAATTAACAGCTGAAGTGGTGTTGTGGCCTAAAACTGGTAGAGTGTGCTAGCCTTGAGCACAAAAGCCCAGGGACTGCAGCCAGTCCCCCAAGTTCAAGCCCCAGGACCAGCACCAAAACATAAATAAAAAGAAGCAAACAAATGTGCGTCTGTCACGGACAGATGGCATCGAGCTATTCAACAGATAGAAGGATCTGAAAACGTTTCAGGACAGAGGAAAAGAAAAAGGAGGGCGCAGGACGGCATCCGGCAGGGACAGCTCAGGCACCCCAGCTCAAGACCCTAGGACTGCGTCTAACGCTCGACGGGAAGCGGGCCGGGGCGGCCCCGGGACGCCGGGCTCTCGGGTGGAAGCCGAGCCAGTCCCGCAGACCGTGTCCCCCGCTTTCTCCATTTCTCCCCATGGCCTCTCCCAAGTTGGTCGGTGAAGTCCAAAGCATAACCCCAAGTGTACGCAGCCTTGGGAGATGTGGGGACCTACGTTAGCGCTGATTCCAAAAAACGGAAGGCTTTAGGGGTGAGCCGGGTGGGCCCTGCTTACCTCAACGCCTCGAGAGCGAGCGGAGGTTAGGCCCTCCTCACTCCAACTGGAGCTGGGGAGACTCGGACACAGTTAAACAACGCGGTCCCCATGGCAACCGGTGACGCGGCCACCGGTGAGGGGATTGGCTCCTCCGCCGAGCGGCGCTTGGGAGGCCTTTGCACATGCGCACACTTTGCAGCCAGCGAGCCACTGCCCGGGAACGGGTGACTGGGAGGGGCGGGGCAGGGGCCGGGGAGGGGCAGGCGCAGATGCTGGGCGGGGTCTTCACCTGCAGCGGGATTGAACTCAGGGCCTCAGGCCATTTCCTGGAATTGTGTGCTCCAGGCTGGCACTCTTTCCGCTTGAGCCACACCTCCACTTCTGGCTTTTTTGCTGGTTCATTGGAGATCCTGCCCAGGGATCTCAGCCTTCTGAACAGCTAATGTTAGAGGTGTGAGCGGCCGTTGCTGGGCCCGTGCCACTTCTTGATTTGCACCAGCTGTAAGGTTATTTTGGCGTTTTAGTCATTCATTCCTTTGATGTACCATCTATTTTATTTTAAAAGAAGGTTTTCCACCGCTACCTGAAATGGAAAATTAGTACCACCCATGTGACAGAAAGTAACCATAAAGAGAAATAAAACAAATGACATAGACTTTGATGCTGATTTAAAACAAAATAAAAGTAATGGTAAGAGCTAGTGCCAGTGGTTCACACCTGTAATCCTAGCTATTCAGGAGGGTGAGATCTGAGGATCAATGTTCAAAGTCAGACTAGGCAGGAAAGTTCCTGAAACTCTTATGTCCAATTAACTTTTTTTTTTTTTAAGGCAAAACAACAAAACCACTATAAGTGGAGCTGGGGCTCAAATGGCAAAGTGCAAACTTTGAGAAAAGAAGCTCAGAGACAGCACCTAGGCCTTGGATTCAAGCAACAGAACCAACATCAATTTAAAAAAGTAATGATAGTTACCCTACAATTTAAAATTGTATACCTGAAAGAAGTTCTGAAAGGAGAATGGATCTATGTATAAAAACAGATGTTTGAGCTAGGTGCCAGGGGCTGGTGCCTGTAATCCTAACTAAAAGGCTGAGATCTAAGGTTATGGTTCAAAGCCAGTCTGGGCAGGAGAGTCCATGAGACTCTCTCTTATGCCAGATGTGGAGGTGTTGCCCAAGGGGCAATGCTGGCACCTTGAGCAAAAATGCTAAGGGACAGCTAAGTATACACACACACAAACACACACACACACACACACAGGTGTTTGGCTTGATGTGATTAACTTGGCTGTTTTAGTATTTATCAGCCTTAGGAAGCATATTTAGAAAGGCGTAAGGATATATTTATCCCCTTTCCCCAAAATGGTGATTTTTGTCTACTGGAGTCAGGAAGCTATCATCCTTCTGCGGGCCCAGAAAAGACAGGGAAACCAGACAATGTAAGTCCCAAATGTTTCCAACATCAAGTCCTCAACAATCGCACTCTAGAATTCAGTCACAATAAAAAACCAAGTTGAGGGTAGGCGCCAGTGGCTCACAACTGTGATCCTAGCTACTCAGGAGGCTGAGATCTGAAGACTGAGGTTCAAAGCCAGGCTGGGCAGGCAAGTCTGTGACATTCTTATCTCCAATAAACCACTCAGAAAGCTGGAAGTGGCACTGTGGCTTCAGTAGTAGAATGCTAGCCTTGAGCTGAAGAGCTCTGGGACAGCACCCAGGCTCAGTGTTCAAGCCCCATGACCAACAAAAAAATAAAAATAAAAATAAGGGCTGGGAAGGTGGCTCAGTGGTAGAGTGCTTGCCTTGCATGCATGAGGCCCTGAGTTCGAACCATAAGCAGAAAAGGCCAGAAGTGGTGCTGTGGCTCAAGTGGTAGAGCACTAGCCTTGAGCTGAAGAGCTAAGGGACAGCACCCAGGACCAGAGTTCAAGCCCCACGACCAACCAAAAACAAAAACAAAAAAACACCCCCAAACTCCTTTGGCATACAGGAGGAGGTGGTGCATACATGGCCATTTCTATGTCCTCACAGAGAAGAGTCAAGAGCCCTCTCGGAGACATCCTTCAGAAGGGCACTAACCTCAAGGTGACCTATCACCTTCCCAGGCCCCACCCCAGGACCACCACCTTGGGGAGTCAGGATTTCAACACAGAAATCTAGGAGAGACAAGTTTTCAGACCACAGTTTTTATGTACATGTGCACATGCATACACACACAAAGATAAAATGTGAGTTTATTAAACTGTAGATCAGAGGTCGTTATATTTATACATCAGGGAAGATGTGTCTCTCTCTACCATCCCATCCTTTGTGTTGGGGTTTGATCTCAGGGCCTGGGCACTGTCCCTGAGCTGCTTTTGCTCAAGGCTGGCACTCTACCACTTGAGCCACAGCTCCACTTCAAGCTTTTAGAGGTTCATTGGAGATAAGTGTTTCTCCAGTTTATCTGCCTGGCTGGCTTCAGAGCATGATCCTCAGATCTCAGCCTCCTGAGAAGCTAGGATTACAGGCATGAGCCACCAGCGTCTGGCAGTTCTTTTTTTTTTAAGTTTCTCATTTGCCCATGTTGTGAAAGAAAGTAGAATCATATCCATTGGCCTTACAAAGCAAAGCCTTTGAAAATTAGAAAATTATAGGAGGAGTGAGAGAGGTGGGGGAAAGAAGGGGTAGTGGGAGAACAACAAAGGAGGGGGTAACAATGCTCAGCAAGAAATGTGCTCATGGGGCTGGGAAGGTGGTTCAGT